ATGGGTTTTTTTTCTCATTAAATTTTGTGTATTTTTCCCATTGAACTGATGCTAGTTTTGATTCTCATATTTATCTCTTTTTCTCTCTATTTTTCTGTCAAAGATAAAATGTGAATGTTATTCGATATTGTTATTTTTGTCATTTGATATTGTTATTGTCGTGATTTGAAAGAGAACATTGGTTCGATCAATATTGTATTCATAAAACAATAGTTCGATTAACAAGTAAAAGAAAAAAAATTCACAAAACCAATTTTTTTTTGTTCGAGAACAACCAAAAAACAACTCTAGTTTTCTTTTCTTTAGAAAAATTTTCAGCTCACTTGTAATCTCAATATAAAAAAATATCTTTTAATCATCTCAAGTTAAATTATTATACTTTTTAGATATAAGTCAGTTCAAGTAACCTTCAAATAATTTACCTCTAATATTTATATTTTATTTTATTTGTAGAGATGGCTACTTTTATAGTAGAAGTACATCACAGTGGTTATTTTATGCATGAGCCGTATTTTCGTAAGTGGTAAGGTGGATCGTTATACAAATTTTAATCCAGATTATTGGTCTTTATTTGAGGTAATTGACGTTGTTGAACAATTGGGATATTATAATTATTTTAAATTGTGGGGTAGGGATTAGGTGGTTAAAATAAATTAGAGCTTTTAAAATAAAATTAAAAAATAGTTGATAAATTAATATATTTTTATTCTATTTTTCTACCTTTTTTCAAAGGATATCCTAATTGTTGTTCTAGTTGAGTTTGTTTGACTTTTTCTTTTTGCATCTCTTTTGCTTTCAGAAAAAGAAAATGAAAAAGCCATTAATTATTATTGTTGATTGTGATTACAGGAGAAAAAATTGACCTCAATAAAATTCAAGATTGGATTAAAATAAAGCAGTAATTAACTTTTATTAATTGAGTCATTTCAAAAAGGAAAAAAAAAAAGCTTATGAAGTTAATTAAAGTGTTCTTTTCATTTTCATTGACATGGCTCAACCAATATTAACTTTTTCCTTTTTGTGCAATCAACCATTATTCACTTTAATTTGTCAGCTAAATAGTTAAAATGCTTAATCATACAATTTTTTTTTTTATTCTTTTTTTGAAGGCAAGCCTAAATCATAGAATTTCAAAAGCTTTGACAATATGCCTATTTGAAAACATAACATAGTGAATGGAAAAAGAGCAGTCATTCTGTAGTTTTTTTTTAAGAGAAATATATGTATAGCATTTATTTTTGGAAATACATTAGTTATCATCTTCTGTTCCTTATTTTTTAGAAATATTTTCTAGTTCATTGTTTATTTTTCCTATTTCTAAATTTTCAGAAAGTTAGTATAATTTTATCATTTTTTTAACATGTACAATGTAAAAGTAACTTTTTTTTTACCGATCAGACCATTTTATTAAAAAAGATATGTGAAGGATATACAAAAGAAGAAGGCCTCGATGAAAACATTCTAATTAAGTAAAATGGTAGAGATATTCATAATTACACTATAGGGACGATTTGGATGACCAAAACGATGCAGTAACTTTGATATCATTCCATGTATGTACACATAGTCTAGTAGTATAGAAAAAGGGCGAAATCAGAACCTTCAACTTCGTAGGAGTAAGAATAAATAGATATATGAGTTATCATTTTAAGGAAAAAGAATGAAATAATATTTTGTAAAGTTTGACATTTACAAAATAAGAATGGGGGCATGGGCGGGCTTTTGCTTCCCATCAGATTCATTTAAACTTTAAATTGACGTTAGAAAGAAATAATAATTGGTGGGAAAGAAATGAAAGGATACCAAAATAATTAGACCAATTACTCAATAATTGAAATAATAATAATAGGAATAAAAAAACCCCAACAAATGTTATTTAGAAATATTCGACTAATATTCTTAGAAATCATATTTTTAGAGAGACCATCTAAAAATATTGGGATTTTAATGAAATAAATATCAAACATCTTTTTGACAAAATTTTATTTATTAAAGGTATCATAAATCTTTGGAAAATTACTATATAGTCCCCCAACTTTTTAATATTTTATTTGGTATCCAAATTAAAAAATCTCTTTACACTTTCATCCCTAAGGAGATATATACTCTATTTTGGTCCCCTATCGACGTTAGGTTTCCTTAGTCTATTTAACACAAAAAAAAAGAAAAAAGAAAAAAGATATGTGATGTGGCATTTTAAATTAATTTAAACATTTATGTGGCAACTTTCTGTTTTAAAAAATCTCTTTTTTCTAAATTTCAGCCTTACCCTCTTCCCAACGAGATGGAGAAGACCGTGGTAAGGGTGAGATCGATGTTTTTAAATAAAAAAATTATCATATCAAAATTTAAAGTAATTTAAAATGTCATATCTTATCTTTCTATTTAAAGGGGCTAATGGAAGCTTAATCTTAGAGATGAAAATGTAAACATTTTGAAATCTGAAACTAAATAGGTATATTACGGTACTAAAAATATATATATATATAGGTATATTACCCAAATCTCGGGACCAAAAAGTAATTTTACCTAAATATTTGTCATTAACTTACCGAATGTTTTTTTAGATATCAAAATAGTCTCTTTTTAAAAGTATAAGGATCAAAACCAACATTTTAAGTATAGGAGACCAAAATGAACTATCTATTTTTTTTTTGTCAAAATTTCAGGACCATCTATTTTGCACCCTCCCTGTAGAACTGCTTCTCTATGAGGGTTTTTTATTTGTTACTTTCAAGACTTCTCTCGAATTTCCAGCTCACATTGAAATATTGATTCCCTTCTTTGGAATGTTTGACTGGAAAGAAATAATCGAACCTTCATAAACGTCTCTAGATAGAGTGCTAATCTGTAGGAAGACATCAATATCTCAGCCTCATTCTAGTCTTCTAAATCTCTTATTTTTTTTGCAATTATAACATCTCTACTATTTCTCTTGATTGGAGTGCTTTCCTCTAGCCTCTTTTTTTGTATGYTCGTTGCATATTCCTTAATGAAATGTTACTTCTTTTAAAAAAAATGAGACAAAAATAAACCAAAGTTGAAAATATAAGGACCAAAGTAAACATTTTAAAATTACAACAACTAAAATAACCAAAACGGAAAGTACAGAGATCCAACTAGTATTTTAACCCTGTATAAAATGATCAATACAATAAAACAGAAGCAATCATTCATAGTAATAGTATATGTGTTGGGCTCACATGTCAAATTAGTTATCCAAACCAAAGACCCATATCAAGACTATATCGTAAGTTTAAAAAAAAAAATCAAGAGTATATTAGATAATTATTTCTCATCTTTGTAGTCCTAAAATTCATTTTAATATAACTTATCCATTTAATTTCAGAGTCTAAATAGTATAGTTTTAAAATTTATTAGCTAAACAATAAGTCTAATGTCTACTTTTTTGGCTTTTAAATAGTGAAATCTTTAATCTTTGATCAACTTTCAAATGTTACGGTCTAGTATGTCCTAAATTTTGTATAACAATTTATTTTAATCATTCTCATTAATTCTTTGATAAAAATATAAAATTGTTTCAATACTCAACACACACGTGTCTTTATCATTTTTCTATTAAAAAATTTAAAAATATATGTGTGTTATATATATATTTAATATAAAGCCTACAAACTAAGATAACTTTTTTAAAAAAAAAAAGATTAAGAACTAATTAAACGTAGTACCATAAAAAAATGCGAAGTTGTAAGAAGTAAAGACTCAGTCATATCAAATGCACCTAAATCTAACTCATACCCTCAAACAGCTAGTAAAAGTTGAAAAATGAAAAAAAAAATATTTAAGAAAAAACAAATGTTATGCATAGACTCATATATAGTATTTGATATTCATAAATAAAGTTCCAAAAGTGAAAACAAAACAATAAATATACTCATTCAGTAGTCATATCAACTCATTCAGTGATTGAAATAGTAAAGCTCCTTCCACTTTCCCATTGAAAAAGGAAAAAAATCTCCAAAGGTGGGGAATTTTGTAAAGTAGGGAAAAAGAGAAAAGAGAGAGAGAACAGTAAAAGAAACTTAAAAATTAACACACAGAGGCAAAATAATAATAATAATAATAATAATAATAATAATAATAATAATAATAAATCAAATTGAATCTGAAGATGAAAGAAATCTAAATCAGAGAGGAGGACACATGGGGTCTCGGTGGACCAGCAGTCACCTGAAAAAATAAAGCTCCATTTCTGACTTTCCACCAACTCTGTTTCCTCTCATCTCGAAGAAAAAGAAACAAAAATTAAAAAATAAAAAAAGGAAGAAACTGAGAAAACCCACTGAACGAGGATTTACCTTTTTTATGAATAATTTGTGGACACTTACCCCAAAGTTTTTCACAGTACCCCCATCCAAAATATATAAACTTTATGTAATTTCTTTTTCTTTTTCCCCAAAAACCCCATTTTCAGATTGTTTTTCTTCTTCTACATTTCATTTTCCAAAATAAGGTTTGGTTTGGTGGGTTAGCTCAACGAATCCCCTTTTCTTCTCAATGTGCTATGATACAATTGACTTTTGCTCTAATTTTTGGTAACTGACCACTAGACTAGAGATTTTTTTTTAATTTTCGGACGAGCTAGCGATCTTGTGGAACAATATAATAACAACGGCTTTATTTTGATCCTCTAAATCAACTTTCTTTTGTAACTATGATATTCTCACCATCTCTTTAGACGAAAGCACGTTTATTTAGGCTTTTCTTATAATATATGTCTATGTATATAATATTACCTTTTCTTGTTTCATATATGGTGAATTTTAAATTTTCATGGCCATCAATATCACGCTCATCATCTTTTAATCATAGGGCTGATTTTGTAGGGAGTTTTGTGTTTAGGTTTAGAGTAGTGCTGATGCGTGATTAGGTCATCATGATCTTAGAGTAATAAAAAGTTCTAGAGAGAGAGAGGAATTCTAATTTCTATATATAGAGCATTGGTATGGTTTAGAAGGAAAATATAGGATGGGATTTGAGAGTGAGAAAAAGGGATTTTTTTTCCTTTTTTTTGTTTTAGGTGGGTTGGAATTGGAACCCAAAAAAACCCGGTTTTTGTAGGTACCCATTTGTCCTTTTTTTCACTTTACAAGTTCTATCCTTTTGCCCATTTCAATCTTTCATCTTCTCGAACACGCATTTCTCAGACTGCCCTTTATCTCTTTTTCTCCCTTTTTTCTTTATCTCTCTCTCTTTATTTCTCTCTATGGAAGCTGAGGAACGAGAAGAAGAAGAAGGCCAAAGAAGCAATTTTGTTTGAGGGGAATGTTGTCTGGCTCGAGGCCACTGATTACTGAATCTGAAATGGGATCGAAAAAGAGAACCAAAAAATCCTCTCTTTATCTAATTCTAATTCACTTGAAAATTACGACAAATCGGCCATTACAGAAGCAGTGTCGTCGGACCAGGCTTCATTCCCCCCACAATTCTTGCTTCGATTTGCAGAAGAGAAACAAAGAACCCCCAAATCGATCGCTGCTGCTTCATCGGGTTCTCCTCCTCCTCCCGATCTGCAGGTAAAATGGTATTTTCTTTTTTTTTTTTTTTTGATCTTGAATTTTGTTGGTAGGAAAATAAAGTTTCAACCTGGGATTCGGTTTAATTTTGTGAAAGAAAATAGAGGATGGTTTAGATTCGGTTGAGGCAGGAGCAGATTGGGGTAATGATGGTGTTTATTTTGACTGTCTTTTATTTTGTTTTTAGATCTCTTTTTCTGACTAAAGAGTGAAAGGATCATCATTACTTCTTTTTTGTATTTCTCTTTCATGGATCAGATTCAGGGCTGATTTAGAGAGAGAGAGAGAAAGGTCTACGCTTTCTCTTCTAACTGATCTTCTAGTCTCACCCTTCATCATTGTTCTGATTTTTCTTTCTTTACTTGCAATCATGCCTTTCAGAATCTTCTTTGTCTGTTTCTCTGATCCATATATATTTTCTTTCCATTTTTTCCCATTAGGGTTTTCTCTCCATTTCCCTCATTGATTTCAAGTTTGAGTTTTTTTCCTGTTCAAGTTAGAGATTCAAAAGCTTCTTTTGTTTTCGTGCCTTAAAGGCTTAGATCCCTGTTGAAGTGCTTTTATGAAGGGGTTTTTCAGAGTGTGGTGTGATAAATAAAGAAAGAAAGACATGGATGAGAATCTGATTTGGTTCGGTTTCATGAAGATCTGCTTCTGTGGCTGTATATCTGAGGAATTTCAGCCTTCAAACTGAAGTTTAGTTTCTGCACATTGAAGGATAAATAGCTATAACTAAGACTAATTAGAGTGGGAATTGGAAAACCTGTTCCTACATGGACTTGAGAATCGCTTTCCCCTGTCGAATAGTGGATCTTCAGACATTATTGCAGGACTTTGAATGAGCTTGCCAAGAAAAAATTTAGATTTTCTATGGTAAAAATCACTCCTCTCATTATGTTTGACAAATTAAAAATTTTAAATAGATTTTTAAGTTATCGGATGGTGATTTTGAAAAATCATCATATTTCAATCCATCTTTTCAAAATCATTCATTCGTCGATCACTCTCAAACAAATCTTTAATGCAGACATGATAGATTGATTAACAAGTGATTATTTGACATAACATGCCAACTATTGGCACAAAAGAGTATGTTAACACGATAACAAAGGACTTAAAAGCCAAAAAAAAAAGAAGCTTTCAATGTATATGTTGTTTTCTCATTCCATTATTATTATTATTATTACTATTATTTATTTATTTATTTATTTTTCTCACTCTATTTTACTTAGCGTCTCTTATCTCACGTTATGTCGAATTATTATTATTGTTGTGGTAAAAGATTCATTATAATCAAAATCAAATACAAGATACAAGTGGTGATCTAAATTCTAACCCACAAAATGTAGGAAGAAAAAGAAGAGGAAAGAGAGTGATTTGAAAAGGTGAGGAGAGAGAAAGGAAGAGGAGGAGGGTAATGGGTGAGTGTACTGTGTAAGTATAGGGTGTCTGATGGGGAGGAGTGGTGTGTCTCATTCTGTCATCAATTTTTGAAACTGAGACATATGCTCCACATAAATGTTTATAATTATTTGTCTGCATCTCTCTCTCTCTCTCTCTCTTTTTCTCTGTCTCTGAAAAATCTGAATCATTTGTGTTAAATTAATAAGAGAAGTCAACATCAGCAATTACACACCATGCACAGTCAAAGAAGCTACTAGGGGCTGTGATGTGTGTTCTTGTTTTGCCACACCTTTTTGCAAGTGAAAAAACCTATAATTTTTTTTGTGCAAATTAATCTTGATTAGACAGAGCCTGAAAAGTAGTGTGGTGGGTTAATTAGAGGGAATGTTCTTGGATTGAGTATGGAATTGCCATTGAAAGCATTTTGTGAACATGCAAATGAAACAAAAGAGATTAATTTTTTAGGACTGTGTCTCTAATGGGTTTAACACTAAAGTGTTTAATGGGTCTTGTCGAATAGATCTCTAAATTTTGAAAAATGTCTAATAAATTCTTGAATTTTTAATTTCGTGTCAATAGAGTTCCTAGCCCTATTAGATATATATTTCTTAAAGTTTACGGATTTATTAAAATAAAATTGAATTGCGTGCTTAATAGAACCATTATCCTTCAAATTTATGTCTAATATCGTTGTGAATTTTAAAAAGTCTCCCAGATTTATTAGATACCGATTAGGAATCTAAACACTTTTAAAATTCATGAATATATAGAGACAAAATTGAAAGTTTAGGATTTGTATTAGGTAATTTTTTTAAATGGAGGAATTTAAAATTTAGTAACTAAACTTCTAATTCAACTTTTAAATTACTTTTTAATTATTAGAGATGAAATTGAGGAGGGATACAAAACATGAGAGAAAATGTTACATATTTTTCTTTTCCTCAGATCATGATTATCAACCTTGATCGTATATGCTCACTGATTTTATTCCTTTAGAAAAAAAGTGTCATTGGCTTTTCTGACCTTTTATTTCATTAATGTTATAAATTATAAGTTAACTTATAAACTTAATACCCTTATTTTCTCGCTAGTGAATCCTTCAACTCCAAAATTTTCAATTACATACATCTCTAAACTTTACATTAACTCACATTTAATCCTTAATGGACCAACATGTCATGCCACTCTATGCTCTATTCATTTAGAAGTTAGGTATTTTGGAAATAATTAAGCAATCTAAAACTTTTTAAAAGGGATCAACTTTCTCCACTTGAGAATTAATGGTTTTAAAAAGAAGATCAAACAAACTTCGTTTTGATATTTCGGATATTTTGGAAAAAGTGTATATTGTGGAACTATATTGAATCTTTGTCATTATAATTATGAGTGGTTGCTTCCTAATTTAAAAGAAAAAATTAAAGAGGGAAAGCAATTATTTGTTATATTTTCTTCCTCTCCACTGATCTCCACAGCTAGTCAATCGAAGATAGAAAGTAAGAGAAATTCTGATTTCAACAACACCTCATGTGAACTGTAAAGTTTCAAAATTTTCTGCCCTATATTTGTAGACTTTATCTAGAACTTTTCCAAAAGTAGAGCGGGGAACACAAACTCTTCAAAGTCTCTCTTTCCCGAAAGAAGAGTTGGGAACACAAACTCTCTCTCTCTTTAAAGTACTTAGTCTTTCGGTGTCGATAGCAACCATGTGAACTATATTTGATGAGATTTATATTAGAATTAATTATTAGTTTTAGTTTCTACATAAGACATATTTTACAGGAATGAAATGAGACAAAATGGATCAAATTGAAAAAAAATTCATGGCCCGAGCAAGTAAAGAGAAGACATTACTATAATTATCGAAGTTCAAATATCCAAGAAAAAATGCAGCACGACACATGCAGCCAAAAACAGAAAAGCGCACCTAGGCGTTGCAGCATAGCACTGCGATGCTGCCTTATGGCGCCGTGGTGCTCCGAACTTTTTCGTCCATCTTTTTTTTCCCCATAACAGTATGACGCTCACTTATGGTGCCATGTGCCATGGCGATATCGTGACAGTTTTCTAATAAAATTATCTTTTTCACCCGTCATTGGTAATCTTTTAAGACTTTTGAGAGAGATATGAGATAACTCGAAAATAGAGGGAAAAAAACCATCAAGCACCTTAGATAAAGGATTTTCAAGCCTCGAGATCGTGGAGATACCCGTCATTGGTAATCTTTTAAGACTTTTGAGAGAGATATGAGATAACTCGAAAATGGAGGGAAAAAAACCATCAAGCAGCTTAGATAAAGGATTTTCAAGCTTCGAGATCGTGGAGATTGAGTAGGAAACGATCAATCAACACAACAAATTTAGTTTATTTCTTTTCCCTTGATTTTTGTAGTTTTTTATGGAACTTTCTTTGTGACTTTGTTGTTTTATATTGAATATAAATAGCTAAGGGTCTATTTGATTGGAACTCGGATTCTGTTTTTTGTTTTCAGATTCACTAAATCAAATAGATTCATTGAATACGCATTTTGCAGGATTTGGAAGATCCATTTTTTAAAACTTCTGTGATACAAACCGTAGAAATTCTGAAAATCACTTTTTAAAGTTTACAGTGTTTTCAGATTTAGAATTTGAAATTTTTAAGATACAAATTACATTAAAAATGATAAAAACTTTAATAAATATATTACTTCATATTATAAACTCATTTTATGTTTGTTTAATTCTCTGAAGAATGGGATACAGATTGACCAACACAAAAGCCATCTCTATCAATCTACGCTCATTGATGAGAYGGCGACATAGAAAAGAAAGTCTACCGATTGTCACCCCCCCCCCTTTTCACTTAAAAGTAAAAAAGAGAGACAAACTTTGGAAGTTTAATAGGGTGGGATCGAGGATGGAATCGAATAGCGAATGCACTTGCGGTTAAGACAGGTCCTGCATCTCCTACCTAATGCAATTGACCGACCCGGCRTCTCTTTCGTTCAATAATGCCTTCGCTTCCAGACGCTATTTACCAATAAGAATAGGAAAAAGACACTACCTTTTTGAATTGGAAGAAGCTCAACCTTGAAAAAGAAATGTGGTAGGCCGACGTTGAACGCTTCAACTTGGCCACTGAAGAAGGCGAAGACTGGGCAAAGACTAGGCCCACTTACTGCTTACTGCCATGCCATGGTTTAAGCTTGATTGAATGATTATTAATATTCTATTTATGTAGCTCTATGTTTAATACCTTTAATCTATTGATTATAGATTAATTAATTTTAGAATTGAAATCTTATGGTCAGGAGAGGTGGTTTAGAGTTAGAATTGAGATGCATGAATAAATGAGTTTTAAGATAGCTAGGGGGATTTAAAAGTCATTTAAAGGTTGTCAAAATACTGTCTTTACTTGTTATAGAAACTAGATAGAGATATTGGTTTCTTAATTACTTAGGAGAATTGCCTTGTGCTCAGGAGATGCAGTTGAGGTTTGAGAGTTCTAGACCTATAGAATTAATAGTCTTCATTCTTGGGAAATTAAGTAATTGGTTAATAAATTCACGGATGAAATCAATTCCCTAGAACTTTTATCCCCATTGATTTTATCTTTATTATTGTATCTTTAATTGTTTTTATTCTAATTCTTTCATTCGATTTTGACTCTCTAAATGAATTGAGCGATTGTATATGTGGTACTTAAGTGAACTAGAAACCAATTCAGAGGACGATATTTACCACTTTTATTAAAACTTGATCTATACACTTGCAATAAGCAATTTCTGCTGCATAATAACTTATGAGAGTTTCAATTACTTTAAAATAATTTTTTTAGATAATCATCTTTGAACTATTTCTTCACAAATGAATTTTATAGCAATCTTTTTTTTTTTTTCAAAAAAGTACTTTTATTTATTACCAAACACGGTATAAATTGTAAATGTAGTTCTAGTTATAAAAAGTCACTTAAAAAACTATACTTATATTAACATACTTTTTAACTCTTCCAAACGTGTTCCTAAAAAATGATGTTATTTATTAAAAACCAATTTTCTCAAAAAAATTATCCCAAACACACTATTAATGCCGATACAAATACATAGATTGTAACCAATAACTATAACTCCCAATTAATTTCTATCTTACATCAACTTCTTAACTTGATTACAAAGAATTACTCCAAGCTCAACAATATATCCTTATAACTAAATCAACTCAAAAAAACATAAGAGCCACATAAATAAAAAACATAATTAAGACCCGACCAAATCCTACATTATTCTACCTTAAAAACCAAACAAAAAGTGGTTGTTCTTTTTTATTCATTATTCAAAATGATAAATCTTCAAAGCTTCATCTTCAACAAGCCCCTCTCCAATTGGCTCCACTTCTGCTCCAAGGTTCCCACATAGCCAACAGAAATCCTAACCAAGCCGGGAGAAATGCCAGCCAGTTCCTTCTCCTCGGCGTTCAGCTCGCTGCTGGTGCTGCTGCCGGAGCACGACATAAGGGTCTCGAAGAACCCCAAGCTGACGGCCATGAGCCCAAACTTGGTGTGGTTTTGAAGGAGATTCATGAGCCTATTGGCTCGCTCCTCGGTTTCCATGTCGATGCACAGAACGCCGCCATAGCCATAGCCATAGCTTGTGTTGGCTATGGAGTTTATGAGGTGATGGTCAGGGTGATCCTTGAGGCCTGGATATATCACTTTGAAGCCAAGGTTCTGTATTCTTTGGGCGAAGATTAGAGCTCTGTGGCAGTGCTCTTTCATTCGGAGCCCTAAATGGGGGACTCTTTGTGACAGTTCACAAGCAACTTTGGGGTTCATTGTTGGCCCTAGAAGCATCAGTGTCCCCTGCTGCAGGTCCATCATCGAATGCACCAATTTTTTTGACCCACAAACAGCACCTATGCAAACCATATAAATATCCATGTTAAATTATAAATTTAGTCTTCATACTTTTAAAATAGTTTTCACTAGTGGTTCACATTTTACTAATATTTTGACACGAATTATTCCACATCAGAAAGTCAGCCGGAGCTCCTCCAGATGTATAGTCGCCAAATATTCTCCTCCCCACAATTAATTAAAAAAAAAAAAAAAACTTACATAATTGCTTGGGTGGAGGCTATTAAGTAATGGGCTAAAGGTTTTTTTTTTTTTCTCGAAAAAGGCTTAAGTATGATTAGGGTAGCAAATTGGTGTTTTAAAATCTCAAATACATTATTAAATATATATTAGTTTGACAGAACAACGTGGATAAGGCACATGTAATCTCCAATTCCCTGAACTATAAAAAAGTAGAGAGACAAATGGCGCTATCGTCATACCGGCAATAATGTCGGCGCCGCCGCTGATGAACTTGGAGGAGCTGTGAACCACGACGTCAGCTCCAAGCCTCACCGGTGAGATCACCATTGGTGCGAACGTATTATCCACGACCACCGTCACCCCCTTTTCATGAGCCATCCGACTTAGCTCCGGTATGTCCGCCACGGTCAGGGTCGGGTTCGCCACTGTCTCGAAATACAACACCTTGTCGAGAATATAAATAAAAGATTAGATTTACCATAATCCATAAACTTAAAGTTTTTTTTTTACGGTGATCCTTCACCGTAATATTTTAGTAGGAAATTATAGGAAGAACTCATTTGTTATCTTCTCCCAACTTAATATAAATAATCAATTTGTTCGAAAATTTGCATTCGCTATTATTTGTAATTTTAAAAATTTCAATTTAGTTACTCTTATTAGTTTTTCCTTTGAACTCACAATAAATCATCTCTAAATTTAACCACTTACATTATACTTATTTATTTATTATTACTATTATTTTTACTCAATCTTTAAACCCTACTATAACTAACTAAATATATTTATCCACATATAAAGCATTATCTTATTATCATGTAAAAAAATTATTGATATAGTAACTACACGTGCAATTCAAATTCAAATACAACTAAAATTCAAATTCAAATACAACTAAATATCTAAAAGATGGATAGTTCGATTCTCACCCTAAAAAATTCTTAAATTAAAATAAAAAGAAAAAAAGTCACAAGATATTAGGTTCTATTAAGTTTGAGTAAACCACACCAATCAATTTAAAATTTTTAAATCTGAATCACTTAATTGAAACAAAACTAAACTAAAGCTATAAAGACCAAGTTGGAGTTAAGTCCACACTAGACTAAATCTAGACATTGAAACTATGTTTAAACTATAGAGACCAAATTTATAATTTAACGGCATGAATAACATATAAATTTAAGTTAAGTTTTAACCTAAAAACTTAAAAGTTTTGGAATGAACTCACCTTGGTCTTCCCCTCCAGCATGGCATTTGCAACCATCCCATGGTCCTTAATATCCACAAACGTGGTTGTAATGTTGCAGACCCTCGGCAGAAAATGCGAGAGAAGCGCGTGAGTGCCGCCGTAGAGAGTCCTCGAGGCCACAATATGGCCGCCGGAGCTCACCAGCTGAAGCAAAACCGAAGAAACGGCGGCCATCCCACTGGAAGTGCAATACGCCGCCTCAGTTCCTTCCAGCGCCGCCATCTGACGGCTGAGAGCCATCACCGTCGGGTTGAAGTGACGGCTGTAGATGAAGCACTCCCCTTCTGGGCCCTCCTCCCCTTCGAACATCCGCCGCATCGTTTCCGCCTCCATCACGGTGAATGTGATCGAGGCCTCAACCGACATGTTCACTCCGCCGTGCTCCCCGAACTCGTGCTCCGCCAACGCCAGCGCCGCTGCAGGATCCTCCTCGGTCGCTGACTTCGTCGCCGGCTTCGGGCTTTTGGCCTTCTCGTACTTGATTAACTTCTTCTTCTCGTTCCAGCATGGGTGAGGAATAGGACGAGCTTCTACTTCAGCCATGGAGTTCCCCTTTTTTCTTTCTGAAAATGAGGAAATTAGAGAGAAGGATTTTAGGGGGTTTGGAGGGATGGTGTTGGAGGGTGAGTTTTGAAGTGTTATTTATAGGGGAGAATTTGAGAGGTTGTTGATGACTTTGCCAATTTAATAGTGATCAAGTCAAGTTAATTGCCTATTTAAATTAAGTTTACTAATTAATTGAATAGTTAAAGTGAAATTAAAATTTGTTCGTTTTGTTACGAGTTCTTTCTCTTTTAATTAAATACCGTTGTATGTTGACCGTGGAGTCATGCACCTTGCATTCGTCTCGATGGTTGGTGCCATTTATTTGTTTATACCCATGAGGATTGGGATTCTAATACTTTAAATTGTGTTGGCCTGCTGTTGATGTTCGATTTTTTGGGTAATTGCCATGTAAGTGATACTTCGATGTTATGAATGCCTTCATCTACAAGTTCTGACTATCTGCACACAAAAATCTAGGATCAATCTGGTGATTTGCTTAATGTACTTTGATTTTTAAGTTATAACTCAAATTATGAGCGAACGAGTGTGGATCTAGTATAGTAGAAGAGAACAGTAATCTCTCGATTAAGAATTTGCTTGAAAGTATTTATCAAATCCTCATACGGAGTTGTATAGGAAAAATTAACTTAATTACTTTGATTAGAGTGGCTCTTTTCTTTATATATGAACAACCAATCAAGGGCGTGGGACCCCTCCCGAAATTTCGTTTCAAAGTGATACTATGCCAGACCTATGCTGGGTGACTTTGTCAGTACCTTTAATTGTATTATAGGACGTTCGTACAATGTGCTAGATCTTCTCTTCTCGTGCACTCTGCCCACATACTTTGCAGTTTGATGAAGCCCGACTCGTCCTTGTAATTAGCGAGTTCCATGTGGTGGCCGTGGCTTCCTCTTAAAAATTTTCAACACCTACCTATTTTCTTTACTTTGTTATCTCGTTTTTTAAAATTTCAGAATTTAACTCAAATTTTTAAAACTAATAGAAGTAGTTGTTAAAACCTAAAGTCTATATTTGTCTACCTATAGATTTAAGACAAATATTACTAAAAATAAATATTTAAAACATAAATATAAATAATTTCTAACCAATTTTTAATGACAATTAGAGTAACTAATTTCATGTAATAAATATATCAAGTTAATTAAACATACTAATTGAATAACGCCATTAACTCCAGTAATAAATTTTTACAATCAATGTCTATCATATCAATATAAATTAGAAAGGAATAGGAGAAATATAATTTATAGGTTCAATCAAATTGTGACCTTTTATACCATTAAACGTAAATTGTCTTTAGAGAACCGATTAGCCTCATAAATTTGCTCAATTTTACCCGACTACTTCTAAAATTATTTTACTTTTATCTTTTCTCAACTAAAACCTTTGAAGTTTTCTTAAAAACTCAATTA